ACTAATCGATAACTGTTTAGCTGTGGGTATATAACCCAAGGCCTGTGCGAAGGAGGGACAGAAACAGATCGGTCGACGTACAGTTGCCGCGCTAAATTCAAAATATAGTCTGTCCAACGAGAAGATCCTTGACAGTGATAGATGTGTCTGTCATTTTAATTTCAAAGTAGTTTATTTTATTTTACAAAGAAATAAGTTGGTACAACTGGAACGCATAGCAGGAAATTATTATATTTAAAATTTGACTGACAAGTGATTACTTCAAAATATTGTGAAAAAACTGTATAAAACTGAAAAAATGTCGAGTTATTTAATTTAATAAAAAACGGTATGTGTTAATACAAATCAAACAAGAACAAGACACCACATACCAAAAAAATATAAAAAAGAACTATTTCTTACTTTCAAGCTTTATGAAACTTCCGGCATTTATAATTATATTTATCAATATAACTTATGTACAAATACAAATTTGTAATATTCCGCAGGAATAAATAAAACAACATAAATAAAACAAACTATTTTATTATTAATAACACTTACCAAATTTTATAGGTACCTTAAAGGTTGATTAATTAACTTTAATCTTAATTTTTTAAACCAGTACCTTTGGCATTATTTTTCTAGTGCAGTACTAAAATCCATTATTTACGTATCGTGTGATGTCGATATTTTACAGCTACTCCAGTTTTTAGTATGTGTTTAGTATGGTCCTTCTACCATATTCGAGATGCACTTACGAGATGGTATACGAACTTTAATGATGGTAACTTTATTGCTGTATAAGACTTTTTGCCTGGGCAGCGAGTATTAACCATAAACTGTGCTCTGGGTCTACGGTTAATTTTCACTCGATTTTTCCTCCACTTGACTTCAAAAGACACAAAACACACGTAAGAACACGAATCAAAATGCATCATCTTCCAAAACGTAGGGTATTTGACAAAACCAGAGACAAAACTGACAAAAGTTGACACAAAATTATAACCTCTAATTTAGCAAGACTTTGACAAGCGTCAAAAATCTAAAGGCGAGTTCATACGCATCGACGTCCGTTTGTCATTCGTCGTTCCGTCAAACCAATAAAATTGAAATACGATCTGTCATTTTTTAAATAAACAAATAAAACTGGTTAAAAACATGAGACGACGTATGACGGATTTATATTTAAACCCATCCATAGTTAACTTAAAAATTATTAGAAACTTTTTTTAGTAAAATAAATAGATTGGTATGGGACGTCATCTGCTTTTCTTCTGTCATCGTCTGTCGAAATCTTACCTGAGAAAAAAAACAGAGTATAAATTCCTTTTAGATAAATAGTTAGGTAAATAGTAAATAAGTTGTAAATAGTTCTTTAAGTAGTTCTATCGTTATTGTTTTGTTACTTAGTGTAAAATAAATTGTGTTTAAATAAATTAGACTTTCTATCCACACGGAACCGACGAAAAACTTAACAATAATATTAAATCAAACGATAAATCCTAAAAATCCAAGCCCTGGTTGACTTTAAATATAAATATCGGCGTAATTCTGTAAATTTTCAACCCTATTTACTTTCTTTGCCGTTATCGAGGTGGCTTACAGCGGATGTAGAATACATCGGATCGTTCGGGATTACTGTAAGACGTAAGATTTTCCTTTGACGTCTAACCTTGTAAAGCGAATGCTTTATCTTCAAAGGAATAGACGATAATACAGTGCCAAGCTAGAAATGAAATATTCTTTAACAGAACAGCTTCTTAATTTGTAAAATTACTTTTGGTGTAAATAATTTTACTGCAAAGGAAATTTTATTTATTGTTCAGGTTTAATATTACACAAAGGAAACTTGTTATAAAATGTTACAAAATCATGCCTCAGCAACTTTTAAATTATTGTTGTATTTTGCAAGCACTGAAACAAGAGAGAGAATGTATCTACCTAGTGCTTTGTGAATGCAGTGAGTTTTATAGGTTCATTTATTTCAGTTGATTTCAAAAAATTCCGACCGCAGCGCTGTATACGGCAGAAATCAGAAATTTTCGCTATGTATTTTACGCCGCGCCGCGCCGTCCCGGTTACAGTTCATGTTGATTGCATAAAAAACAATATCGTGACTTTGTCATAATATTTAAGTATTTTAGTTTTTTGTTAGTGCACTTATTGAAACTATAAAACACTCAAGTACGAGGTTTGTGTAATATAACGCTGTTTCGGGTAGAATGTAGAACGTTTAGGAAGGGAGTTAATCACCGCGACCTTATAGATCTATTGTGTGTTCCCCTTTCTTCAACGAGTTATAACTCATCATACAGTCTCAGGGCTTTAACAAAAGCCAGTAGCTGAGACGGCTCCACAGAGGCCAGCTTTCCATCCTCAACATCAGACGTACCAAAGTTCATGGCACGAATGGTCGCAATTTTCCCCACAAAATCTGCATTTGCCGTTGTTTCTCAGCTTCAGCCTACTGAGGTGTTTGTTGAGGAGACAGTGTCCTGTTAGAAACCCTGTGACAACCCGAAGATTGTTTTTACTTAAATCGAAGAAAACCTTTGATTTTTCTCGGTCGTAAGTTCTGAGGAACATTTTCGAGAGTCTTAGGTTGGAGGACACCCATTCCAAGTTACGGACGGAGTCTTCCAGATTCTTCAGTTCCACTTTCAGTTGGTTCCCGTTTGAAAAACAGAACGGTTCTGGTCCAGTTAGTGGAGTGTTCGCTCCTTTCCTGGCTATATTATTTGCTTTTTTATTGCCTTCTATCCCTTGGTGAGCAGGCACCCAGAGTAGGAGGACTTTATTTTCTTAATTAACTTAACTTACTGCCTAATTTGTTGAGCTTCTCTAGGCATTCTTTGACCAACTACGAATTGATGGTTACTGAGTTGATCGCGTTAAGTGCTGCTTGACTATCGGATAGGATGGCAATTTCCTGTTTTCGATAGTTCCTATCTAAGATAAATTGTACGCATGTTTTGATAGCGTAAATTTCTGCCTGAAGGATACTGGGGTAGGTGCCCATTGGTTCGGAGTATTTAGTTTTCGGCCCAAATACTCCTATCCCATGCAGTATATTCCTTGATTTGGTTTTGGAAGCATCAGTATATCACGTGATGATATGGTTTTTTATATGCTGAGAAAGCGTTTCTTTCTTCCAATCCTTTTTATTACTCAATACTACCGTGAGGTGTTTCTTAAAGTTGTAAATTCTTGGTATGTCAGCCACTGGGAGTTGGAGAAATGGAATTTTCTTTTTGAGGGTGTTCCAAGCCCCTGACCTGAAAATTCTCCCAGTACTGTTTCCGTCAATGACCATTCTAATCATTGTCGGATTGGCATAACTACCGACGACAATGTGCAGTGGTGTTAGGTCTAGAATGACCTCCATTGCTGCTGTTGGACATGTTCTCATGGCACCTGTGATACAGATACATGCCAGTCTCTGTACTTCGCACAGGTTTTGCCTTGCTCAACGTTGCTCTAGTTTTGTATACCAAGCAACTGCTCCATAAGTAATCATGGGTAATCATAAGTAATCATGGGCTCGATGGCATCATGGCATCCAGCGCAAAATGTAAGGGGCGCAGCCTCACCTATTTCCCGCCAGTCTTCTGCATATCATGAAAGCCTTTGTGGCTTTGCTGGTAATGTTCTTAATATGCCTGTTCCAGAGAAGTTTACTATCCAGGGTTATTCCCCGATATTTCACTTCCCTGTGATGGCAGTATTTCCTTTCCATCTAGATGGATTCTTTTCAAGTTTTTCAAACTTCGCTTTCTGGTGGATGGCACTACTGCGGTTTTATCTGAGTTAATACTCAGCCTGACAGACACACAGGGTGCCTTCATGTTTCCCCCGTGCAATGATGACTATGTCATCTGCATACCCTATGCAGTATATTCCCGCTAGAGTTAATTCTTCCAGTAGTTCATCCTCTACCAAGCTCCACAGTAGGGGGGAGGTCACTCCACCTTGTGAAGTTCCTTGCGTTGTTTCAACAACTACAGTTTTGGTACTTATCTCCGCTGCTGTTCGTGTTGAGAGCATTTCCCTGTTTCGGGTAGTAAAAAATATATGAAGAAGAATCCGAACTAGGCGTCGCGTCGCGTTGTGTTGCGACAATTTCAAATGTTAATAAAGTTGCTGAAAAAATGTTATTGCGTAAATGAGAGCGTAATTAGGGCATTGTTGAGTGCAATAACATTAAATAACTCAACTCTCCCGGATATTCAACTCTCCCGAAACAACATTTTATAGCTTCATAGTTCCTCACACCGATTTGATCAAAAGGAAAAATGGATTCAAGCAGTTCGACGAAACAAGTGATTAAACAAAGTGCTCGTTACATAATCAAAAAATTAAATAGACATAATATACTATGAGGGAATAAAATATAATTTGCAATATTAATGGTATACTTTATTCAATCCACTAGTTTTATGAACATCTTCTAAAATTATAATTATATGTACGTTTAAAAAAATTCGTTACATTTTAATACAAGTTAGACCTGCTGAAGATATTAAAATATTTACTTTGATTATTGATAACTAACTTCCTAATGTTTTTAGAATAATTATACCGTATGATCGAGAAAAAACGGCGTCCAGTTGGCTGGGAAATGACGATCGATGACATTTCCCATATAAATTTACATTTAAAATGACAGCGATCTTCATTTCCCAGCCAACTAGACGCCATTTTTTTTCGATCATACGGTATAATAATTTTTCCGTATACTTTCTATTTAAACTCGTGTATTTGTATATATCAGTTGTTTACAATATTCTCCGATGGTGGCAGCACTGGCTGTGTTCCATTACAAAAAACACAACTTTAATGTGCAACTTTGGGGCACTCTGTAGAACTCTCTATATATTAAAAAATACTCTAAATTAACCTACATGCTCCCAAAACTGAGAGAAAAATCGAGATTTTTTTTGGAGACCATTGAATAGAGAAACTCAGTAACCGTTAACAACACAGGTTAAGAAAAAACGATTCGTAGGTAAAACTCTTACCTCTGCTGGAAAGGAATAGCCCTGGATGTGGTGTTCGGAGCCCTGCTGATTGTCCGTACCGTAGTGGATGTATATCTCCTCGAATTGGTAGCGGTACGCCAGAGGCCCTCCTGAAATATTCACGTGCTGCTTCGTGTCCTTGTCCACTCGGAACACGAGGGACTGACCCGTATTGTGTAACGTCCCGCTTACCTAAAGAGAAAGAAAAACATGTGCTGTTAAGTACGGAATGACCTTATTTCTATGTTTTAAAATAACTCAGTTATTTTTAGAAAAAAAAAACTTATTATAGCTTATATCGCTGAAAATCTTAAAAATGGTGCTTTTTATGAAGTCATATGGTCAACCTTGTTTTCTATTTAAAAAACATTAATCATTAATTTAAACATATTATAATGGAATTACGGACAATTTTTAAAATAGCCGAAATGAGTTTTTTTTTCGAAATATCTAGTAAGCCATGAAATTTATCAAAAATCTGAAAGGCGCATATTTATGACCCCACAAAACTGCAATTCTTTACCCATTTAACCGACTCTCTATCTCCAGTAGTTTCCGAGATGCCCATAGAGAACATCGTAGAAAATTCACCCTGTATAAATATAGTTATTACAAAGAATCCTTAAGTTTTCAGTCTTAAGCTTTTGGTATAAAAAAATATCCAAGGCATTTATAATTTCCTGGGAAATGAAGCATTAAAAATACAGAATTGATTATAAAAAATTTGTGTGTGCACCAACGTGAAACTTCTTACTAACGGCTGTTAAATTGGAGTATTTGAAGGACATGCTTGAAAAACTGACATATACTGCTCTTTCAAAATAAATGTTATTTTCAATTTATTCCTGTAATCTGTACATTTTCTGTTTCCTCAATAGCTTGAAAATTTGTGGAATACCAACCAAAATAAATACTTTTATGCAAATGCCTTGATAATGAACAATGAACAATGAATGATAACGTTAACGCTTAAATTTATTTAAAAAGAGAATAAAATTTTTGAACCTAACCAACAATTATTGGTATGTATCAATGACTAAAGAATCCAAGGACAAATAAGACCCGAGAGCAAATTGGCAAATTTTGCCGATGTCACCAAACAGTGTCGTGGCACATATTTTTCTTAACCTAGCTGTTTGAAGCAATATTTATATTTTTTGAACTACGCCTATGGTGTATCATCCTAATTAATTACGAAAAAAACGTCTTAAGATGTTAACAAATGGTACAAAACTAGTATCGGCGTATAGCACATATCAACTACATGATATAGATGTTAATTGAAATTGAAGAATAATTATCGGGAATTCAATAAGAAAACGCTAAAAAGTTGGAGTGGACTGTTTATTTACCTATGAAACGTTTTTTTGAGCCAAACTTTTGGCTCTTTCTTATCGCTGCTGCTTTTACACTTAAAAGCTGAACAACTAAGCACCATTGTAATAAAGTTTATACAAAGTTACACACAAACAATGCCCAAGCAGCATTTGGACGTCGGGACAACGTTGTGTCACGCGACCAAACGTCGGGGCGCAACGTCGGCACAACCTCGTGCCAACCCTAGTCTGCACTAGTTTGGAGAATAATTTTTGGGTCGAAACGACGTTGGATACCGACGTTGGCTAGAAGCCTAATTTAGTACAAACTGCAACGTTGTTTAAAATCCTAATTCACAGAAATACAAAACTAATATGGCGTCTAAGTCGCGTTTTATCCTAAATTGGGATAATTATAGTAAAATATTATTTTTATGATTTAGGTAGAGACATATGTCAGATGGCAGTGAAGGAAGACAAAACAAAAGTATTTAAGTGTGGAGGATGTTTGAAGATCATAATTATTGAAACACTTTAACCGACTCTGTAACTCGTTACCCAAGGCAAAAAAGTTAAACGAAAACAACTTTATTGATAAATGTATTGTTTCTACTTTGAAAAATACTAATGGGCCTTAAAATTAAAGAAGTTTTAAAAATTTTCTTGGATTTTTTTTTTTAGTAAAATGAGAATAATTTTTTTTCCGCGTAATATTTAGGGTCAAATATTTCAAGTTAATGTATTCAAAAAGCAGGAATTGCTATTTTAGAACGAAACATTTTCTTATTTAACAACATGGCGGCTTTCACTTTGTTGTTTTGGGAGATTAAGATGGAGTAGTTCAGTAGTCGCATACTGGACTAATAAAGTCGCAGTTCGGCCTTAACAGGTAGTATACTAGTCGCAAGATTGCCTAATTTAGTCATCCTAGAATCTAGCTTGTGCCGCCTTCTATAATCTAAATAAACGAGGGAGTGGATAAACTATCGGTAATATATGTCGATGTATATTTAAATTTAGTTTTATATGTACCTTTCTTATGTCCCATTTTAATTAAGTTTTTTTTTATAAAAACAAAAACAGCACTGAACTGTCTGACTGAACAGAACAGTGAAGTGAAAATTTAAGATTTAAGGTTATGGTTCAATACAGTTGCAAAAAGGTAGTGACTCGTCCTACCAACGTAAGAATAAGGAAATCTAAACAACGTTGGAATTAGTAAAACAGACGACGTTTGCATAACGTTGGAATAGGTCCTGAAACTGACGTCGGAAAACTCTATATTGTCCAACGTTGTAACTACGTTGTCCGAATCACCTAAAGATCACTTAAGCAAAAAAGGTTACAAGACAACGTTTATTCGACGTCGCAGAAGCTTCTACTTTGCTGTAGTACTAGTCCAACGTCGGCACAACGTTATAAAAACGTTTAAATTTATTTTAATACCCAAGGTAGGGAGCTAACTATTTTTTGTAACTAATCCAACGTTGTGTTTAGTAAACATGTGGTCGCAAGTCGTGAAAATGCTACTTGGGTGTGTATACAAAGTTACACACATACTACACACAAACTATTAAAAATCGCTAAAATTGTCGCTGGTGCCCAAATGATGACTCATTGTTTGCCATCAAAAGAAAGGTCTCTAAGGTCACAAATTGTGCTGCAGCCCGTATAGGGGCGTTACATGTCCTTATATTCTTTAGTCATTGGTATGTACAGTGGTTTACAGTAATTTTGTTAAATTATATAAATATTCTCGTTGCTTATTAATTTGAAATAAATATGACGATGGTTTGGTTTGGTTTGGTTTGGTTTGGTTTCAAACCAAAATAAATACTTTTATGCAAATGCCTTGATAATGAACAATGAACAATGAATGATAACGTTAACGCTTAAATTTATTTAAAAAGAGAATAAAATTTTTGAACCTAACCAACAATTATTGGTATGTATCAATGACTAAAGAATCCAAGGACAAATAAGACCCGAGAGCAAATTGGCAAATTTTGCCGATGTCACCAAACAGTGTCGTGGCACATATTTTTCTTAACCTAGCTGTTTGAAGCAATATTTATATTTTTTGAACTACGCCTATGGTGTATCATCCTAATTAATTACGAAAAAAACGTCTTAAGATGTTAACAAATGGTACAAAACTAGTATCGGCGTATAGCACATATCAACTACATGATATAGATGTTAATTGAAATTGAAGAATAATTATCGGGAATTCAATAAGAAAACGCTAAAAAGTTGGAGTGGACTGTTTATTTACCTATGAAACGTTTTTTGAGCCAAACTTTGGCTCTTTCTTATCGCTGCTGCTTTTACACTTAAAAGCTGAACAACTAAGCACCATTGTAATAAAGTTTATACAAAGTTACACACAAACAATGCCCAAGCAGCATTTGGACGTCGGGACAACGTTGTGTCACGCGACCAAACGTCGGGGCGCAACGTCAGCACAACCTCGTGCCAACCCTAGTCTGCACTAGTTTGGAGAATAATTTTTGGGTCGAAACGACGTTGGATACCGACGTTGGCTAGAAGCCTAATTTAGTACAAACTGCAACGTTGTTTAAAATCTAATTCACAGAAATACAAAACTAATATGGCGTCTAAGTCGCGTTTTATCCTAAATTGGGATAATTATAGTAAAATATTATTTTTATGATTTAGGTAGAGACATATGTCAGATGGCAGTGAAGGAAGACAAAACAAAAGTATTTAAGTGTGGAGGATGTTTGAAGATCATAATTATTGAAACACTTTAACCGACTCTGTAACTCGTTACCCAAGGCAAAAAAGTTAAACGAAAACAACTTTATTGATAAATGTATTGTTTCTACTTTGAAAAATACTAATGGGCCTTAAAATTAAAGAAGTTTTAAAAATTTTCTTGGATTTTTTTTTAGTAAAATGAGAATAATTTTTTTCCGCGTAATATTTAGGGTCAAATATTTCAAGTTAATGTATTCAAAAAGCAGGAATTGCTATTTTAGGAACGAAACATTTTCTTATTTAACAACATGGCGGCTTTCACTTTGTTGTTTTGGGAGATTAAGATGGAGTAGTTCGAGTAGTCGCATACTGGACTAATAAAGTCGCAGTTCGGCCTTAACAGGTAGTATACTAGTCGCAAGATTGCCTAATTTAGTCATCCTAGAATCTAGCTTGTGCCGCCTTCTATAATCTAAATAAACGAGGGAGTGGATAAACTATCGGTAATATATGTCGATGTATATTTAAATTTAGTTTTATATGTACCTTTCTTATGTCCCATTTTAATTAAGTTTTTTTATAAAAACAAAAACAGCACTGAACTGTCTGACTGAACAGAACAGTGAAGTGAAAATTTAAGATTTAAGGTTATGGTTCAATACAGTTGCAAAAGGTAGTGACTCGTCCTACCAACGTAAGAATAAGGAAATCTAAACAACGTTGGAATTAGTAAAACAGACGACGTTTGCATAACGTTGGAATAGGTCCTGAAACTGACGTCGGAAAACTCTATATTGTCCAACGTTGTAACTACGTTGTCCGAATCACCTAAAGATCACTTAAGCAAAAAAGGTTACAAGACAACGTTTATTCGACGTCGCAGAAGCTTCTACTTTGCTGTAGTACTAGTCCAACGTCGGCACAACGTTATAAAAACGTTTAAATTTATTTTAATACCCAAGGTAGGGAGCTAACTATTTTTTGTAACTAATCCAACGTTGTGTTTAGTAAACATGTGGTCGCAAGTCGTGAAAATGCTACTTGGGTGTGTATACAAAGTTACACACATACTACACACAAACTATTAAAAATCGCTAAAATTGTCGCTGGTGCCCAAATGATGACTCATTGTTTGCCATCAAAAGAAAGGTCTCTAAGGTCACAAATTGTGCTGCAGCCCGTATAGGGGCGTTACATGTCCTTATATTCTTTAGTCATTGGTATGTACAGTGGTTTACAGTAATTTTGTTAAATTATATAAATATTCTCGTTGCTTATTAATTTGAAATAAATATGACGATGGTCTCCATATGAAAATGCAAGTTGCTGAACTCTAATAAAATAATAATAATGTTATAAAATAATAATAAATGTTATTCTAATTCTGAGCTAGCAAATAAGCTAAATGCTTTACCTAGACCATTATTCAGAAGCTACAAACCTATCGATAAAAATTTGCGTGAAAATTTACTTCCTAGCACACAACCAGAGGATATTGGGACCCAGGTACAGTATGAAGTTTATTATAATGCTTCACTTAGCTTTAAATCAAATGTTTTTTGGTGTTTGCGCGATCCTTACCACTTTCTTTCGCTAGCTCGTGCGTCAAAGCATGGTCAAGGTCATACCGTATCAAGGCCGTGGTGTGTCACGGCCTTGAATTTTTACTCCCATCGTGCGTAAAGAAAAGTTTCATTTCAAAAATTTGCACTTATTTAAGACTCGCCCTCTATAGCCTAAAATTATTGAAATATCGTTTTAAAATTTGTACTTATTGTTACAATGTGATGGCGTTCATTAAAAGAATTGGAAAGATACGCAATCAAATGGGCATATTCGCGACAAGACTGATTTTATTTCCCCTTGCGTCTCAAGTGCTGTACGGTGGAGCCTCTACTCGTTCTGCGGCCAACGCGTAAAACTCTCATTTTCTCTAATTCTGCTAGTGAAGGCATATCGAAGACGGTGTGGAACTGAAAGCGACAGTGGTGCCATATAATGTATAATATCTGTAATACGTTTGACGAAAATATATTTGGATGAAAAATCCGCGTTTGTCTATGGAAAATTTATTCATGTTAAATTAGAATAAACAACAAAAATAGAAGTTCTTTTTTAGATACTGAATGTGCCGTATGATCGAAAAAAGTTGTTTAGTTAGCTTGGAAATGACGAACTATTGACATTTACCATAATATTTTACATATGAAATAACAGCGATCTTCATTTCCAAGCCAACTCTGACGCTGTTCTTTGTTTAATAATTTAATTTAATATTAAATTGCTTAATAATAGGAAATCCGTATTATTAACGTGCTGATGTACCCAAAATCCGTAAATCTACGGATTAATCCGTAGTTCTGGCAGCACTGTCTCCGGCAACCACTCACTCTGTCGACTGAAAGCAGAACTACGGTACAGTATTCTTTATCCGCTGCGCTGTAAACGACTAGCAGCGCACAGGTAAACTAAATCTCGGACAGGTAACGGTAATGCCAGCTACATCTCGGATCTCGGACATGTTTTGTGCCACAAAATTGTCCATAAGGTTGCGTCTTCTTATTTCTTCAATCAATGGTGTTGGTAATAGTCCTTAACATAATTTTTAAAATTTATGAGGTATAGAGCGTTTGAACCTATTTTTAAAAGTTAACGTTTATTACTTTTTATCTCTCATTCAATATATGCGGGGATCCATTTATCAAGCTTTTTAAATTTTTCCTTTGACTTTCAAATAGGTGGAAACGTTTTCCAATTTTATGCAATGCTCTCAAATGAACGTCGTTAGGCAAATATTTAGTTAGTTAGACTTTTGCAATTTTGCGGTATGTTTTCCAAGATAAAGGTATCTATGTTTTTATTTCGTACTGTTATAGTAATGTAACTAGTTAACTTTGAATGTTTATATTTTATTTTATGTAAAATTTTTAATATATTATTCTTAATAAGCCTAAGGAGATCGTTGTCTTTCTTAAAACAACGATATAGTATCTGAAATGAACCTCAGAGAACTATTGGGTTTAAAATTGGATACATAGGAAAACTAAACAGAGATAGGTTTTCATTTTTTTGGTCAATTTACATGAACTTTTAGCAAACTATATATAAATATATCAACTCATGTGTTTTCTTTAATATCGTTAGTTCTCTTATTGTTATTAATGTTTATTAATTTACTATAGGGCATCCAATGCAGCGTAATATGACATTACGACAATAGTCACCAAAGCCACCTCTATACAGGGTGATACCTATAAGTCGGTCATGCTTTCGGGGAATGATAGAGGACGTCGAAATATTAATTTTGATTTAGCACACTATGATACTAAGATACAGGGTGTTAAAATTTTTGAAAAATTAAAGATATTCTTTAATAGTTTTTTTAACAGTTAAAGGTATCGTTTAAAATTTTATTATAGGAGTCTGTCTAACAGAGACACTTTAAATGTAAAAACAAGAGGTTTTAGTTTCAACCAGTGGCGTAGATGTGATACGCATCGAAAGCTATATATTTTATATGGCTTTATTACATGTGGTTCCAATGTGGTGGCACTAGCCGTTTTCTGAAATGTTTCGATGCGGAATCAAAACTTATTTTCTGCAATTTGTGTCCAAGATGTTCCCGTTTTCAGCAGCACTGTTTCTAAATGCGAAGAAACAAAATACCAAACTAAAATAGTCTATGTCTGTGGGTGGATTTCAAAATGAAAACAACCATCAACAATGTCGACCACGGGCATAATTTTTTTGTCTTAAAAATCTTTGTTTTTTGACAAAATGTCTGGCAAAAGCAAATTCCTCGTTTAATTTAATAATGCACTTTCATATCTTTAATAGCTCTTCTATATATCATTATTTGTTCCCACAAAGTATTTTTGTTTGAAATATAAATTTTTATTTTCATTTCAATAAGATCTTTATTGTTCTAGCTGATGTAGCGAAACCATATTTTGGTAAAATGTTTCTAAACAAAAAACGATTTATGTTACGAAACATATGTACCAAAAATGTGACGAAACTGTTTTGCAATGTTTCTCAGCTGAGATTTTGTTTCGATTTTATGTCTAAAAAGTCTACTTGGGATAGTTTATAAAAAACATTGAGATTGTGAATTAAAGTTGATATATTTATTGCAGTCTGCAAGAAAAATCATGGAAATTGGTCAGAAAATAAAAAGTATATAACACTTTAAATTTGACTAAAAGTTTTTTGCATCTGAGTGTAGATTATAATATAGCCCTGTAATATGTATCATAATTGTCATGCAATAGTGGTTATAACTGTAAACGAAATTAGTTTCTTTAACTAACATCCCGGAAGAGTTTAAAAGAAGCAAATAGACTTATCGGTCAATATACGAACAAGTATATTAAATTTCACATATTACAACCCCTATACCTGCGAACCGGAGTGGTTAAATGAACGGTTCGAGGTCGACGAGGGACGTAAACAGCACCCCCCGTTACAATTAAGGGCTAATTTCAACGTAAATAGATTGAATCCTATTAACAGCCGCGCCCCGGATTGCTGCTTTCCGGCCTATGGTTTTATAGCAGATTAATCTATTGTTTGCAAACGAAACCTCGTAATACCTTATAATTGTAAAAATAGGTTTCGTATTATTGTTATGATTTATTTCTATATTATTAGATTTATCTACAGAATTCTGAAACAGTGGGTCGGACATCTGTAGCTCCTATAATAATAAAAAAAGAAATTTTCCAAGGAATTATCCAGTTCTTCTTAAAAAACATTTTTGTACATAATTATTTTTAAGAGCCCTATATAAATCGTAAAATTTTATATAACAATTTCGAACTACGTGACCTTCACCACTGCATTCGTAACGCAACCTATACAGAAGCTAATTGATTTTGTAAGTATTCAACTACCTGCAATAATAAACATGCTTAAAGGGCTACTTGAACGCTTTGAAACAACTTTAAATTGAAACGCTACGTTATATAAATCAAATCGACTGTAAAGCCATTTAAAATCTTTAACTTTGCCATTCGCCTTCCGGGTGGAGAATTAAACAACTCCGCGGTTTGTTGCTATGGGTGCCCAATATTCACCTAAAATGTAGAAATAAAACAAATCGACATACTTTTTAAACTTTTTTCCATAGCAACTGTTAAAATTGCCTTATATATAAAAAATAGTAGATAAAATAGTACTTCAACCGCAAGGGTAGATTAAATGATACTTTAACAGCGAGGATAGGTTAAAAACTTTATTTCTTGTCGCACGTTTTTCAATTCCTTCCATTTTTTAAAATTTTTGTATTCCTTTTCATAAGTTATTCGGGATTTAAATGGAAGTAGTTTGGATATGGCGTTTGTCGCCTCAGCATGAATATCTGTTGGTAATTTACTTAATTCGTTTTGAGCCATTTATGGCTCCAATTCAATCAGCAATCGACACGAAAGAGAATTAAAATATATTAACTCAAAACTGACAACTAAAGAGACAGCTTTATTTATTTGTCAAATTACATAGAAACCAACACCAACCCAGCACAATATTTTTTCTACTCGTAATAAATTCCTTGAAATAATAATTTTTCTGAATACTTTTTAATATTGTTTTCTACACGACGATATAAAATTGCATTATCGCCTCCCTTGAAACGAAGGTCATGCTATCTTGAAACGAAGGTCATGCATGTCAACGCACATGCTTGTTGGTCTGTGGGCAGTTTAAAACAGAAATTATTCAGTATCGGTTCATGTATTAATTTTCGATAAATATGTCCACGCATAACTTTTTATCCAAAAAATAGGTCAGCTGAACCGAAACAACGTCAAAATCGTCTACACAGCGGTACATTAAAATTCAAACAGTATAATATCTCCACATGTCGTCGCGCCCCCTACTGACAATACAAATAACTCCCCTGGGGATGCAGATGTTTTTTGGCGCCCTAGCCACATAATTACGTGGATAGTCATTGCATTTTTGATGGCGCCACGACGTCGACAAACGACTCGATGCCAACTAGCGGAGAAAAATGTCGACTATCATCTATCAGAGCTGTGATAATTCTAGTGGACCGAATTCAGCAAATTGTTGTAATTGTTTTCACTGACGGGGTGTTCTAATGGGAGAATCTGTTGAACACAAATTTACAACAATAGAATCTGTTGTACGAATGAATGTTCTATATCAACGATATAACCTTTCATATGAACTACAACGTTTCTTCTGCTTTAAGAAGCTACAAAATTTTTGAAAAGTATTGTATTAGTATAATAACTTTTTAAGATACAGAGTGAAGTTTCTACGATGTTCTCTATGGGTATCTCGGAAACTACTGGAGATAGAGAATCGGTTAAATGAGGAAAGAATTGCAGTTTTGTGGGGTCATAAATATGCGCCTTTCAGATTTTTGAAAAAGTTTATGGCTTACTAGATATTTCGAAAAAAAACAAATTTTGGCTATTTTTAAAGAAAATGGTCCCTAATTCCGTTATCTATACTAATATATAAAATCCTTAAGTGACTGACATACTGATTAATCACGATCCTGCTCAAACCAATCAACGTAAGAAGCTCAATTTTGGCATACAGGTTGATTCTAGGGTGTAGAAGTTCGATAAGAAGGTATTTTTCGAAATTCCAGTTCCAAAAGGGTGAAACCACCGCTCAAATATTACAATATTTTTTATTTAAAAAACGGTCAAGTTTCCGAAAAAAACGCTTAAACACGTATATTTTATTTTGTTTTTTAGATATTTTAAGATTTTTTAAAAATGTATACAGGGTGTTTCGTAAAATTTGGTCATTGATTAATCACGATCCTGCTTAAAGCGCTTGACGTAAAAAGCAGATTTTTGGAAAACAGATTGACTTTAGGGTGTAGAGGTTCGATAAGAAGAAATTTTTCGAAACTCGAATTCTAACGGGGTGAAACTATCCCTCAAATATTAAAATATTTTTTATTTCAAAACCGGTAAGTTTTTCGGAAAAACTCTTATACACATATATTTTATTTTGTTCTTTTACATATTTTAAGATTTTTTATAAATTTATACAGGGTGTTTCATAAAATATGACCATTGAGTAATTACGATTCTGCTTAAACTGCTTGACGTTTAAAGCTGATTTTTGGCAAACGGATTGACTGTGGGGTGTAGAGGTTCGATAAGGAGTTTCTCGAATCTCAAATTCCAAGAAAAACGGTTAGTCTTTCGGGAAAACGCTAGGACAAGCATAATTTATTTGGTTTTTTTACATATTTTAAAATTTTTTAAAAAATCATACAAGATGTTCCAAAAAGTTGGGTAATTTCTTAACCACGATTCTGCTTAAACTGCTTGACGTAAAAAGCTTATTTTTGACAAACGGATTTTTCGAAAGTCAAATTCCAACGAGATGAAACTACCTCTCAAATATTACCAAATTATATAATAATATCGCCATATTTGTTTTCTCATGTTGACATAAATGTGAGAAAATTTTATCCACTTTGTATGTTAATGGAAATTCTTGCTTTGCTTTATCATCACCATTACAAATGATTAATTCGACGCGAACGAAGTCGCTGGTACACGCTAGTAATCTATATTAGACAAAAAGTTTTCAGATAAAAGTTGTAGATAATCACATCTTTAATGAGACTGTGTTTCCCGTTTTTTTTTCTAAAGCCTGTAATTTTTGACATATGACACAAACTTATGTTTTTTTAAAAATAGGAACCATCTGTTGGCCATGACTTCATAAAAAGCGCCATTTTTAAGCTTTTCAGCGATATAAGCTATAATATGTTTTTTTTTTCGGAAAATCTTATCTTTCTTAACTAATTATTATTTCACTTAGTTGGCAGGATATTCTTATTCTGTTATTTATTTAATTATTATAATTTATAGCTTATAAAGAGACAGAATATTTTATTAAGCGGTTCTTTACAATTTACATTACACAAACTAAAACTTAAAAAAATAATATCACCACATACACTTTAAGTTATTTTAGAAAATGTCCAAAAAATATACCGCATAAAATCTAAAATAGATATGTCAGGTGATCGAGGAGGCCCATGCAATTATCCCTGAGTTTGAATAATTATGATATAAATAATTTTTAACATTCCTTTTTTTTTGGGGGGGGGGGAGTGTCATAATGAAAGTCATGTTGGAACCACTCTATAGATGCGCGAGTCTCTAAATTTAACTTTTCTAACGTATCCTCGAAAATGTATGGTCAAGAAAAGTTGGACCAATATTCCTAAACGCTTTTCTTCATTCGAAAAATTCATATTTACAATTTTTGGTTATTTTAATTTACAAAGTCTGGATATGACAGTTTGACATTTCTGAGAGCAAAGACGATTGAACTTGTTGCCATGGTTAACTAAGTGAAATTGTTTAAAAATGATAAGAATGGTATGTGACGATGAGAATGGAATGGCTCAGTAATTTTTCGAAAAAAATATATACATTATAGCTTATATCGCTGAAAAGCCTAAAAATGGCGCCTTTTATGATGTCATTGCCAACCATGGTTTCCATTTAAAAAAAATATATATGTTCGTGTCATATATCAAAAATGACAAGCTTTAGAAAAAAACGGGGCACGCAATCTCATTAAGGATGTAATTATCTACAACTTTTATCTGAAAGCCCCCCCTCAAATTCGCAGAACAGCTATGGCACAAAAGGAGTGGATGAAGGCTTCCACCTAAGACGGCTTACCTATTCAACTGTCTATCAATCCTCCTCCTTCTAAGCGCCTCAAATCTCGCAACCCAATCTAGATGGACGACGAACTTAAGAGCGAGTACAATATGCACTCCAAATGGAACGAGCTTGTGGCTACCAGTCTGGGAACACGCAACTTGAACTTAGTTGCCGATATATCGGGTGCCTTCCCGGACATGGAACTTCCTCGTCATACCTGGAGTCGTCTAAATCGTTTTAGGGTGGGTCATGGTGGCGTGATATGCTTCATAAATGGGGAATTGAAGACTCACCAGCTTGCGACTGTGGCGCTCCACGACAAACGATGGAACACATTCTGACCGAATGTCCACCCAGAGCCTTTCCTGGGGGCATCCAGAACTTATTTTGCGCTACTTCTTCGGCAATTGACTGGATAAATGACCTCAATATAAATGTTTAATGTAAATTTTGTCCCTGACTACATATATGTTTTATATATACTTGTAATATTTTTAAGTCCTTATATTTCTCATGCATGTTTTCTTTTTTCTTTTACAACTATTTGTTTGTATATATATATGCTTATCTCTGTGTATGTTTTATAGAATGTAATTCACATATCCTGTATTTGTGCTTCTCATACGAAATAAATAAATAAATCTGAAAACTTATTGTCTAAAATGTATTATAATGAAATTAGGGACCATTTTTAAAATAGCCAAAATGTGTTTTTTGTTTTTTTCTCGAAATATCTAGTAAGCCATGAATTTTTTCAAAAATCTGAAAGGCGCATATTTATGATCCCATAAAATTGCAATTCTTTACCCATTTAACCGACTGTATGATCTCCAGTAGTTTCCGAGATACCCATAGAGAACATCGTAGAAAACTAACTCTGTATATGGCAAGAATTAAAGCTATATTTTTATCGCTGAGTTCACACGGCACTATTTGGTAGGTTGTACTAGGGAAATACACACAAGGTGGTTTGCCATTGCTATTGCAAGAACTTTTCAGTTAAGCAAAATAATTTAATAACTAACCAAAAAACAATGAATTTTTTAGTTAAATTTTTATCTACTCAGGTTTGGAAGAAGGTCATTTGTCAAAAAAATATGTGCGAAAGCGAGGTTGCTGAATTGTTTTCTTTAACCACCCTTCTTGCTCATTTTTCTCTCTTTTTCCCTTGTATTTATAGCTAGCCAGAGTGGGGAGAGAATTACAGAAGATTAATATGCCGCAGAGATTTCTGGATGAGAAAAATACACATTTAATGATCGAAGGGTCGGCATGGAGATTTATCTTGGAGAGGAAAGAATGTTGATTGTGTTGTTTTTGTGGTTTATATTTAGATTAATTAATGTTAAATTATTTCGCATTTTAGACAAATTTTCTTTCTTATGATTGTTCTTATGACTTAGTTTGAAAATCTGCTGATGATGCTAGCATGGTTAGCGGAACGCGCGTCCAGTGTAAAAGTAAAAGTGTTTTGGTGATTTAGTGTTTTATTTTGTTTTACTAAATAATAAAATAACATATTTAAACTTCAATAATTGCTAATAAACATTACAGAAATTTCAAAAGAGAAAAGAAGCAAGAACAATGAGAAATAGCATCACTACTTTCTCACGTAATAAAAGAATAATTTTTTCTTTTATTTTCCGGTTCTTTGATATCTCAAAAGAACCGGGAATTTCCGGTTCGCAACCCTAGTTACCATATTATCAAGAAATTATGTTTTTTAACTAAAAATTAAACAAAATTTCTGAGTTTTTTGTTCAAAAAAAAAATTGCGCAGTAAAATCTTCATATTTCTAGGGTCAAAATATACTACCCCTGAAAATATTTGCACTTATTTAAGACTCCCTCTGTATAGGGCGATTCACGGATATGGTACGTTATAGCGTTTCCGGAATCGGAGCTGTTTAGGAGCAGTAATTTCGGTACCATGCCTCTATGGAACCGGGATTTCCAGTTTTTTTTTCGGTACTTTCGGTACTAGCCAATTTTTGTTCAATGATGCAGTTCGTTAAACAGAAAACAAGGGAGGGATGGTTGTCAAAAGTAAAATCAATAAAAAAAATTGAAAAGTTTAAGTGAAAATAATATCAAATTATTAAGTAGTAATCAGTCATGAAAAAATTAACTTGAACACAAACATGATCACAAATTACTCTCAAAAAAAAACTCAAAGCACAATTTTTTTAATTATATTATTACTACAACCAATAGCAGCACACAGTAGGGCACTCATTTTTTGTCAATCCGTCTCTATGCTGGGACGTAACGCTCGAACCTCGCAGGTCGACGAATGGAACTCAACTGAAACGCTCTGCAATCTGCCGATATTCGACAGATTGTAAAAACTGGCAGAAAATATTTGGGAGAGTGCAACTACTCTTTTCCTTCTACTATGATATGATCATGTATTTACAATTCAATAATCGTTCCGGATTTCTATTTTTTTACGGACTTTGGAACCTCCTGGGAACCCTCTCCACCGCTACCTAGCCAGCGGACGCCCCTTGGGCAACTCAACTTCGTTGATACAATCGGTTATTAATGAATCGGAGCTTAAGGAAATCGTATCCCATTTTGTACGCGGGAGGCAGGGGTATTAGTTATGCAACATATTAAGTACAATAAAAGAAACAAAACTGCGATATTTTTAGAAACTTAAAAAAATATAATAATAATAATGTCATTTTAACAGAACATCAACAGTTTCATTTTCAACATAAAAACAAGAATCGTAACTGGCACTACCGGCGATAATTTGGCCGGATACTTACTTAAGGTACCAGAAAAAGAAATATACAGTTCTTTCATTTGTTTTTCACCACTTTATGACACTAGCGTAATTGGATTGATTATTTTACAAATAATATTAAATTATCAATCCAATTCATATATACTATTTATTAAAGACTTCTTAATACCAATTTAATAATTTTAGAACTATATTTTAATTCCGATTTAATAATCATATAATAAATAGTATATAATACCGCATGATCCAAAAAATGGCATCCAGTTGGCTTGGAAATGAACATTGATGACATTGCCCATATAATTTAACATATAAAATAACAGCGATTCTCATTTTATAACCATCGCTGACGCCGTTTCTTTATCATATTGAGCAGAGGCCAACAATATTTATTTGGAGTTCCATAATAACACGATATCGTCTTTTAGTCCGACATTTAATGGTTTATAGTTGGTAATATTATTTTAACAAAAGTATTAACGTAAAAATTAAATACCTTACAGATACTCCCGTACTAAGCACAGTATAAATAATTTTTTTCTTGTAAATAACATTCTTATCGTTTGCATTATATGCGCATGATGTTTGTTTAGGGCTATTGTTCAACTCTAAATATTGGTGCCTGACTCTATTCCTATATCACCGCCGAGCCGTAGAAACGAACGATCGCATTGTGATCCGATTCAATCCTCACGATTCTTTTTTACGGCTCATTGTTCAAATCTTATGGATCCATGTTGGCCATGATTCAATTGAACGAACTGTATTGTAACTATGAATCAATTCTCACGATTCTTTGAACGAACGATCGCATTGTGATCCGATTCAATTCTCACGATTCTTTTTTACGGCTCATCGTTCAAATCTTATGGATCCATGCTGGCCACGTTTCATTTGAACGAACAGTATTCTAAGCAATGAATCAATTCTCACAAATCTTTGAACGCACGATCGCATTGTGATCCGATTCAATTCTCACGATTCTTTTTTACGGCTCATCGTTCAAATCATATGGATCCGTGCTGGCCACGATTCAATTGAACGAACCGGATTGCAAGCAATGAATCGAATCTCACGACTCTCTGAGCGCACGATCGCATTGTGATCCGATTCAATCCTCACGATTCTTTTTTACGACTCATCGTTCAAATCTTATGAATCCGTGCTGGCCACGATTCAATTGAACGAACCGGATTGCAAGCAATGAATCGAATCTCACGATTCATTTTTAATACTCGTTCGAATGAACGACTCGTTCAATCTTTGCCCACCTCGAGTCTATAGGTATAATTGAACGATAATTCTTGGCTAAAGGGCATCGAAATGGGTTGCAAAATGATAACTCGCACGTCCTATATTGGCAGAATTTTTACGAGGTGCGGAGACGGGATGTAAAAATTATATTGACCCGTAAAAGCGGTTAATGGTAAACCAATTTGCCTTTAATTAACGTTGGCGGCTCGTAAAAGCGAATTACGACGCCGGATTATTTTTGACTTCATATATTTCGAAAACGTCATTTTTATTTCCGGACCGGATTCACGGGCTCATAAAACGGCAACTTCAGCCGCGACAATTATAGCTGCCATGGGAAATTTTACGGCGCGGTTTTTGCATTTTATTTTTACGGAAAAAAATTATAATTTTATTAGGCGCTTCACACTTGAACTGGAAATTCTTGTTTTATCGAAAGTTTTATTACATGAAGATAATTTAAAATTAATAAAAAATTGGCCAAGTGCGAGTCGGACTCGCACACGAAGGGTTCCGTACCATCCATTATCTATACTACATTAGACACTATATTATTATAAACTTTTTTTTCCGATTTAGCTGAAATTATGAATGCGCGTATAAGTAATTTAAAAAAAATGAAGAAACACATTACTAAAATTTGTATTAATCAATAATAAATATGTAAAAAGTAAAAATAAATATGTAAAAATACGTGAAAATTAAAAAAAAAAACGATTAAAAAAGTCGCCTTAACTAGGATTCGAACCTGCCTTACTACGGCTCCAACGTCATAGCAGCGTAAAGTCCTAACGCTATAACCACGCGGCCACCGAGGACTTGAAAGATTCTATGTAAAATTCTTACTTAAAAGATAATGTTTAGTGAAAGTACTTTTTTATTTATTAACATTTATTTAATACTGTTTTTAGTATTTCTTCTTATAGCGGCAACATAGATACATTATCTGTAAAAAATTCAACTGTCTACCTATAACGGTTCATAAGTAATATAGACCTTTGTGATAGACGGACGGACGGACGGACGGACGGACAGCGAAGTCTTAGTAATAGGGTTCCCGTTTTTACCCTTTGGGTACGGAACCCTAAAAATCCTCAACACCGGCCTACTAGAACACAATATACCGGGTGTTGCATCGTCGGACGGGACATAGGAAATCCCTAATGGGGTCAATTATTGGCTTTGCTAATTATTTTAGAGAATAATTCTATTTAGGTTTATTGAAGAGTACTAAAACCCACATTCAAAAGAATAACTTTAGATATTTTTGATTAGCTCGTTTACGAGTTATCGCCCTGTATTTACTTATGAGCACCAGTCAAGATAAAAGATAACTGTCAAATGAAGTTGTTATTTCAGAAATTTACCTATTTAGTGCTTTATTATTATTGAAAACTCATTCCTACATCGGAAATCTTAAAGATTAAGAAGTATTTATAAATACAAATTAATATGAATTAAAATAAAATAAAGTAATCAATTACAAGGTTAATTATAGTATTATTACAATATT